TGATTCTTTCACTTCACACATCTGATAAAGTGAGCTGCAACTCAGGAAAGCTTATGCCCTAATCCATTACTTAGTCTTTCAGGTGTCACCAGACTCTCCTTGTTGTTTTTGATATGATAAACACCCTTCTTATAAGCAGGCCAAGGGCTTCAAAGAAAACAATGGTGGGTATGAATATATCAGGGTAGCACACTAGTAAGGACAGTAGGTAAAGAGGCCTACCAGATAGAGCTGATCAAAACATTTCCATCTAAAGGTATTTTTGATGGAAAATGACTTTGCTCAGGATGTCCATGACTGTGGGTCACTTATCTTTTCCTGGCTTCAACAAGAATTTTTTTCTTGTGTTAGCTGGCAATAAACACCCTGACACTACCAGCCCTTTTGCCACACAAGCTCTCTTCTCTGGACTCTTTCAATTCCTACTTTCTCTTGCAGGTAAATAATTGGTGAATCCTCATCCCTGACAACTTCAGAATCATCCCCCTTTAGTGTCCCACTCCATCACTGAACCTTCTTAGTAACTACCATATTAATCACTCCCAAGGTAATAATATATACAGACCCAGGCTTATTTGATTCAGCTGAATATCATCTCCAATATAACAATATAGCCCTATAATCCATATATGCTGAAAACACATTATTAATGAAAATAAAGATTTTAAGAAAAAGTGAGCAAAAATAACAGGTTACAAACAAAACATTTTTGAAACACACACACTCACATGCATGTACACACAGACACACCACACAAAATAGGTATCCTAAAACCCAAAATGAGAAAATCTGAAAACGAAAAAAATTCTGATTTTGGGTTTTTCAATAAAAACCTGATAAATTTTGCAATTTTAAAAATAATTTCCAAAGCAGCTCTACTCACAGGGCTTACCCACAGTGTCATTCCTGGAAATCAGCAAGACTTGTTGACTGGCTCAGGCTTTATATTTAATATTGTCTTGTTATAGTCACACAAAGTGTGAGAGGATACAGGGGTGTAATTATATGTGCTTTGTGATCAACATAAACCCTAGCATAAAGGCAGTTTTACCAATCCAACTGATATAACTCAGTGAGGCTACAATAAGCTATACTATCAAAAGAGCAGTTTTGCTGTTGAAGACTGTGTTCCCACTAGTTCAGTGTTTCCCAATTTTATTTGGCCACAGAACCCTTTTAAACTCGAAAGAATTTTGCGGAAACCCTAACAACAGTCTAATATATGGACATCAGTGCTGAGTAGTGACATCATTGTCCTCACTCTCTGGCTAAGCTGGCATTACACAGGGACACTTATCGTGGCAAATACAAATGAAAATAGTTTTCAATAAAATTCATAAATGCTTAAATATTATTTTTTTAACAATCATAAAATGTTATCGTAATGGAATTTTCTCGCGGAACCCGTATTTTCACTTTGTGGAACCCTGGGGTTCTGCAGAACACCATGTGGGAAACACTGCACTAGGTCATTGATGGTATGATGTACTCGTACAGCTATTCCAGAAAAATGCTTTTAGTGTACATATGGCCCAAGTGCGCTTTCTGTGTCACTTCTGAAAGGTGAGATCAGATTCGTGTTTTTGTATAATGTTTCTGCTAAGAGTGGGGAACTCTGTCTCGTGCTGTATTTTTTCAGTATCCCACCTTATATAAACAAATGCCATTTTTGGTGCAAAACCACCAGAGTTTATGAGCTTAAAATTTGCTTTCCATGTCCACGTATGCAAATAAATCACAAACTATGGAAAGCAAAGACGATGGAATGAATTTGTTTTAAAATATGATAATGCAAAAATTGTGGAACGCTGATTCTGGTACCAGAGAGTTCTAGGCACAAACCACACTGCAGAGTACAAAGTTCAAAGACTTCTTTTATCTATTTCTTCTTGCCAAAATACTCACACACTTTGTATTATTCTGATTTGTGTGGGTCCTCAAAAGGGAACCAAGCAATCTCAACAACAGTCACTCTTAAAAAGCCTATTGCTTACCTCTGTGAAATTCATTAAAGGAGCAGTTTTTTAATGTATAGTGCCTACTGCAATTTTTGTAACAGCAAACTCATCTGAACTAAGTTCTGAACTAATTGACTAGGGCTAAGACATTTAGGGTATGTCTACACTACAAAGTTAGTTCGAACTAACAGACGTTAGTTCGAACTAACTTTCATAGGCGCTACACTAGGGCTCCGTTAGTTCGAATTTAATTCGAACTAACG